TCCTCGGACATGTTATGAAATCACCTTTAATTTAGGAACTATTTTCCCGTTCTTGTTTGTAGTTCATGGGAAATTTTAGAAAATGAAGTGAACAGAATGTCTCAGCATCTCAGTCAGCATGCCTTTCATATTAGAACATTGTTTAATGTTTAATGTTTTATTTATCTTCATGACCATATAGAACTTTTATCTTAACCTTGAGGCCACTGCAGAATGCAGTCTAATTCTTTGGCAAATTAGCACTGTGTTATGTGCTGAACATCGGTAATTTCTCGGTCTGAGGATACTTGACTTATGGTTGAGCTAACTGTCCCTCTAATGGCAAGTCACAGCTTCCTTGCACGCATATAGGCTTTGATTTAAGAGTCCAACATGAGAAGTAGAGATTTAAAGAAAAAGAAAAAGAAAGAAGTGAAAGGAGAAGAGGCCAACCAAATAAATGCCTCAATGAAAATTACATTTTAATGAAAATAAAAAATTTTAAATTCGATTAACATAATATGTAATTAAAATAAATTAAAATACGAAAAAGTGTTATCTCTTGTTATATAATTTAATATATAAAAAAATAACTAATAGGAGAAAGAGGAAACTGTTGCGTTTGCCTGTGGTGATATGGTGCGTCTATTTTGACATATTGGATTTCGCTTTTGCTTGCCTTAATGGACCAACTTTTGGGCACAGAAACTCCCAATACGTAGTTGTTTTATCAATGTAAATTGACAATCAGACGTGTATTGTGCACGCATGGACCGACCGACCGACCCCAAACATGACATACCCCTTTCATCATTATTTTCAGGCTAATTTCGATTTCTTTAATTAAAGAATATGTTGAGATTGAGAAGAATTTATCATTAAAACAGAAAGCAAACACTATTTTACCCTTTTTTTCCCCTCTTACATTTTGATGATTCCAACCTTCAATTGACAGAATTGGAATCTTATTTTAACAAACTTATGATTGGAAAAATGTTAAAAAAAAAAAAAATAGAAAGACAAGCATAAAGAACACCACTTATCTTATAGTAGGACATCCCCATTATTGACCTTGATAAGTAACAACATAAAGAACAAGGACAATGAATTAGGTGATAGGACGGACATAAGGATAGTATATTATTAATACAAGTTGTCGTTTTCCTCCTTGTGTTTGGTTCACGACTGAAAGTCGTAACATCATCATGTGAATCCACGCTATGATCTCATCCACATTATCCATCCCATTGAAATGAGACTGTGCGTTAAAAGGGAAGCTTAGGGCATGCTTGCATGCCAATGCCAGGCTGTTTTCCTTTTTGCGTCGACTATGCATTGCTTGGCTTGTTAGTCTAGGCTTCATGTATCCATCTAATATCTCTATGTCCTTTCCATAATTTAATTAATTAAATTAAGGGTTTCGTAGCAATTAAAATGATTATCCACAAGGCATATTTCTCTTTTAATTATTTCAATTTGAGAGATTCTTTATAATCTTGAATGTGTTTTTTAATTAATAAATAAGATTTCTTTAAATGATAAGTTCTTATATGATTAATACAATATTATATATATCATAAATTTATAAATTTATAATATAATATGTTATTATATAATTAAATTTTTTTATTTAAAAATTTATTTATAATATTGTATATATTTATTCATTTAATACTATATCATATTTATTTAATATCACATAAAATAATATGTATAATTATAAATTTATAATTTTACATGATATTATAATTATAACATTATTGTTTAGTTGATAGCAATAATCATTTCTTAATTAAATTGTAAAAATAAATTAAATTTAACAAACCTTTTAAGAAATTAAGAGTAATTAAATTTTAATATTGATAATTTTATTTTAAACTAAATTTTCACCTTTAATGCTTCTATTTTACATTTGTGGTACAAACCAAATGCCAAAATCGAGACTTTTGCGCAAATCAATAAAATGGAAGGATATGACCTTTGGTAGATAAAAATAAAAATAACGAAGACCAAAGAGGAAGATAAACATGGTGGGTGCAATTAATATTTTGCTAAGAACGCTCTACCAAGGACCACATCTCTGCCATCCCTTTCCTTTTACACCCAAAACTTCTTTTCTATTATAAGAAAGCGTAAACCTGACGCGTTTTAAGTTTTTACCTTACGCCGACTAGAATGGACTTTCGTTAAGGTTACTTTTGTACAGTTTGGTAAATTTCATGGCTGCCGCTTAACCTTTCAAAGATTATTCAGTTATGCCGCTAACCAATTAAGTCATGTAATCAAGTCCGTAAGCTCTTTTAAATCCTACATTTTTTTTTTATTTTTATAATTAGTTCCATTAATATTTTTGGCCAAATCAAATAAATATGGATGGAATTTTTCATCCAATCATCTATTTGATGGATAAGACCTTCTATCATTGTTCGCTAAGAAACAATATCAAAAGACAAAATAATTACCATCTTGATAATAATTGCATTGAATTGGAGAAATGGGCCAACCATAAAAATTTGGCAAATGTTAAAGTCTCTCTTCTTTTGTAAGATTTTTTAAATTAATATAAATACAGCTACATAATAAATTATGCTTCCATTTAATATTTTGAATAAAGATGAGATTCTATTTTAACTAAAAATTATTATTGAATTATTTAAGTTGTTAATAATAAAATATTCTTGATTGATGACAACAAAAAAATAAAAATTCCTAGAATTAGCATTTAAGTGAAACAACTAAAAAGGGCCACGAACTTAATTGCAAACAATAAAGAGACAAGGGACATGCCAACAATAAAAAATTACTACTTCCGTATAAGGAAAAAGTGTAAAAAAAACTATTAGTAATTAAAATTACACATCCTAACGTGGAGAAA